GTGTGTGTGTGTGTGTGTGTGTGTGTGTGTGTGTGTGTGAGAGCGTATGTAATGCAGTACAACGAGTTGCAACTTTGCAGATTTACAATAAGACTGACATAAAAGCGAAAGTGATGGATATGATGATTATGATGATCATGGCGGTTTCGGTGATGGTGGTGGAGGTTTTCATTTTTTTTAAACTAAGGAGAAGGAGCAGGAAGAGGAGGAGGAGGAGGGGGAGGAGGAGGAGGAGGAGGAGGAGGAGGAGGAGGGGAAGGATCATAATGATTCTGTTCCCTTCCCCAGACACTCAGCCAGCCCTACGAGTATGCAGAGCTCTCTGGATGATTACTCGTATCATCTTACTCTTTGGTGTTCTCTACCTTTTCATTTGTGCCCTTGGCCTACTAGAAGACTCCTTCAAGCTCTTGGGAGGTAGGTGCCCTTGTGTTTTTGTATAATCTGTAAGTCTCGATCACGTTGTGTTCAGCGTTATGCTGTGAGATCGCTGGAGGAAAATGTAAACGTTTGTGAGTATCTTTGGTGAGCTGTAGCTGCCTTTTGGTTTCCACTTTGTCAGATGGTTAAAGAAGAAAACAGTTCTGCTTCTCACCTTCTCTCATCGATCTTGTATTTCCCACAACTCACCCATTCATTCTTCCTTTTATCTAGATCTAATGCTTTTTGTTTGTTTGTTGGGGTTTTTTTTTTGTTGTTGTTGTTGTTGTTGTTGATTTTTTTGGGCTACAACAACTTCCCTTGCTCCGTTCGTGAATGTTTGAAATGAGGAAAGATTATATTCAAAATCGTTGTCTCTGATCTTAGAACTAGGAAAACTAATGAGGCCGGAGCATTTACGTCAAATTATAAATAATTCTTAATTTACTACCGATTGGCTACCCTAAAATTACAAAATTCTATCAGCTCAGTACTTGGTTCTGAAAAAAATTGATCAAAACGATTTTGAGTTTCACAACATAGATCTATTTGTAAAGTTTTGTTGTTTTTTTCGAATGCAATTCTTTGAATATCTCGATAACGACTAACGAACTCAAAACGGTAAAAAATGTCAGATAGCACTTTGTAATTCTGAGGTAGAGAATTGATCCAGGTTACGTTTACATCGTGCAGGTCGTGCAGCCAGTGAGGCCTTCCGGAACGGTTATCTTTTGTCCAACCCAATTACAGGACTCATGCTGGGAGTCATGGCAACAGTGCTGGTTCAGAGTTCGTCCACCGTCAACTCCATCCTCATTGCCCTCGTCGCTGCTCAAGGTTAAACTTACGACTTTCTTGTCGTTGTTGTTGTTATTGTTGTTGTTGTTGTTGTTGATGATTTTTGTTGTTGTTGTGTAACTGTTGTTGCTGTGTTTGTAATTGTTGTTTTGTTGTTTTTTTCTGTTGCTGTGTGTGTGTGTGGTAGCCTATCCGTTCGAAATGTTCGGAGCCCCGAAGAGCGTGCTCTTCGCCAGGGCCACTGCCTCCTTTGGGTAGCGGGTGAGGCAGTCCAACCTCCCTGAATCCCCCCGAAGAGATGCCACCGCCGGGCCTCCGTGGCGG